AAGGCTCGCCTGGTCGCGCAGGGCTGCCAGGAAGACAAATCGCAGATCGGGGCGGGCGCGCCTGCGGGGTCAAGGGGCGCGCTCGCGCTGTACCTCACCCTGGCCGCCGCGGCCCAAAATAACTGGGACATCTCGTCCTGCGACGCGATGGCGGCCTACCTGCAGTCGGGGAACATCGAGAGGCTGCTGCCCCTGCGCGAGCCGGCCAAGAACCCGCCGCCAGGGGCGCAGCCCGGCGAGATTGCGATGGCCACGGGCGCGATCTACGGGGCGCGCGACGCCGGGAGGCAGCGATGCCTCTACGCCCAGAAGGTCTTCGCCGAACGCGGCCTCGTATACGAGGCCGGGGCCTTCACTGCTTCTACGACGCAGGTGGGCTCGCCGCGGCTATCCATTCCCACGTGGGCGGCTTCTTGATCGCCCAGCGTAACAACTCCATCAACTGGAAGTCCACTATTGCATCGCTGGGGAAGAAGCTCCGCCTCAAGCAGGTCGACGGGGTCATCCAGTACTGTGGACGTGCAATCACCAAGCTCGACGACGAGTTTCGGGCGACCTGGGCTACCGCCGCCTCGCAGGTGGACTACATCGACCGCCCCGAAGGGCCGCGATGCCGAGGATCGGCTTACCGCCACCGAGGTACCGAGTTACCGCCACACGCTCGGGCAGCTGCTATGGCTAGCAGTCCAGACCCGGGTGGACATCGCCTGCCCGGCGAGCAGCCCGCCGCGCCAACGTCGCCACCGTGGCCGACACGAATGCCCTGAACAAGACCGTCGCCTACGTGCACTCGACCGCGAACTTCGCGATCGCGCTGAGGCGCAGGCTCGTCGATCTGATGACGGCCACCACCGCGTGCTTTAGCGACGCTGGGTTATTCGACGTGGACGGGGTCAAGAGCCGGTGGGGCATGGCGATGGGGCTCACTCACCGCCCGCGCGATGTCGTCGGCGGCCGCTACGACCTCTGCCTACCCGTGTCCTGGCACTCGGGCGCGGTCAAGAGGTCGGTGAAGTCGACCCTCGCTGCCGAGGGCTACGCGACCCTCGAGGGATCGGAAACCAACATCTGGTTCCGCCAGCTGCTGACCGAGGCCTACAACCCCAAGACGTCGCTCAAACAGATCGAAGTCCTCGCCGACAAGCGCCCTCGGGAGATCTACAGCGACAGCAAGGGTCTCGTGACGCACATCGCCTCTGATGTGGGCCAGTCTACCGACAAGCGATTCCGCATCGCCGCCTCCATGATCAAGGAGGCCGTGCACCCCAACAGCGCACTCAAGCTCAGCTGGATCCCGACCTGGGCCATGGTCGCGGACGTCTTGACCAAGGCGATGGAGGCCGGCGCCCTGCTGTCCTTCTTCGGGGCCCGCCCGCATGCACAGGTACGGGACCCGGCAACCGCATGCCGCCATGCTCGCCTCAGTCCTGTTTACCTGCCTCGGCAAGGTCAAGGGACAGCCTAAGCCTACGCCGACGGTGCCGGACTACAATTTCTGCATATGCCTGCCGACGTTCACGCTGGTCCTCGGCATGACTATCGGTTTCGGCATCTTCATGACGCTCTGGACGATCATGAGGCAGAACAACATGATCGCTGCCGGGGAGCACGTCGCCGAGGCGACGGCAATGGGCGAGCATCACGGCTGGGACGGCCGCGTGCTTGGCCAGCGCCGTAACACTCCAGCTACCATCCTCGAGGATCGTGATTACGACGGCGACATCACGATGTACCCCTCGGATGGACACAGCAATGCGCAGGCATCGAGTTCATCAGCATCGGCTTCAGGCGTCTCTTTCGGATACCACCCATCGCAGCCGCCAATATCAGCACCACCGCCGCCACTGCTGCCGCCAGAACCACCGCCTGCCAGCGCGCCACCTACCGCAACATCAGCACGATCGAGGTCAGCGAAATCTGAGTTCGGGTTCAGCCCCTACCTCACAAAGCATAGTCACCGTATCGAGCTCATCGAATTCAGTATCTGAGAGTGTGGTTTCGTGAAAGGGTTCCTCACCGACGGTATCGTCGAACGATATGCTCAACTGTGTGACCGCCGTCCCCCGCCATGATTTCAGAATCGAGCATAACCCGCATAGCGTCTACATGACCCGCAAGACCAGCAAGAAACACTCGTCATGGTTTCTCCGGTTCTGCAGGAACAGCAATCCCGATTTCACGAACTTCCCCGAAGGCGTGATGAATGACCTCATGGGCCATTGGAGAAGGCTTACCGGCAGAATCCGCTGGCGCAGACCTGACCTGACGGACGAACCGACGAAGCCCTAGAAGGAGAGATGAATCCCGCTTGGTGTCCGGACGGCAGGTTGGCCGGTCGAACCAGCAAAGATTCTGCTGCTGTTGCTATAAACGGTCGCCTCTTGCGACCCCGCTTACGTAAGTCCGCATTGCTGCTCTGTTTTCACACCTGGCTAGAGGTTTATGCAAGTCCGCATTGCTGCTCCGTTTTCACACACGGCTACAAGTGTATGTAAGTCCGCATTGCTGCTCCGTTTTCACACCCGGCTAGAGGTTTATGTAAGTCCGCATTGCTGCTCCTTTCTCACACCCGGCTACAGATTTACATATAAATCCGCATGTAGCGAAGCTTCATTAAGTGTGCACAAGTGTTGCTTCAAAGTTGTGATGACGATCGCACCCATTCAGATCTGAACTCGATAAGATAATTGTTTTGGGGTTCTGTCGCTTCGCGATCGAACTCCTGCAATTGCTAGCCTTGCCTGGCTTTGATTATAACGCCGGCGGCGCTGAGAGCTGACAATAATATCCTCCAAGTCGCGTGTAGCGCATCCGCTTAAGTGCCCCAAGGGCTGCTTGCAATGCAAGCCGTGTCGAGCCGTTTGCTCGCCTTCTGCCAGCACGCCTGGCACTCCGCTTAATGAAGAGCCAGGCTTATATGCCCGGCTGCTCTGGCGCCTCAGCTTCGTGCGCCCGCGCACCGTGCAGGAGGACGGTGATTCCAGAAGACTCGCCCTCTTCCGCCTCGCTTCCGCTCTCTCTCATGCCCGCTCTGCCCGCAACCGTTATCTCTCAAATAGGGCCCTTGGCCTTAGAGCTACGCAGTTTGATCGAGCAGCGCTCTCATACGATAAAGATTGCCGCGCCGCGCGTGCCATCCATATCACACCCAGGACGGCCCCAGAGGGCGACCCAAGACGGCCCAGAGAGTAGCCCAAGAGGTCTCCATGACGCCCAATGTGGCCTCTAAGAGGGTTCCAAGACAGTCCAGAGAGGCCATCAAGACGGCTCTCGAGGGCGTCAGACGGCCCTAAGATGGCCAAAGAGGCTCCAAACTAGCCCCAAAGAGTCCGAAGGAGATCCCCAAGAGGCCTCCAAAGGGCTCCCAGCAAGCTCCAAGGAGACCCCAACTGTGCCCCAAGATGCTCACAAGAGGTCTACTCCAGCTCCTTTTCCTATTCCTCCTCCTCCCTGTTCCTTCTTTTCCTCGTTATCCTCTTCCTCACGTGATCCCCGAAGAATTTCAGCAACGGCTAAAGGAACGCATGGTCCGATAATTTGCCCAATGTTCGGCCACATAGACTCTTCCAGAAATGCAGGGGGCGGCGGTGATTCGCCGTAGGCGTCTTCGATCCGCCACCGTTCATACGGCAAGTTTAGACGTGGAAGAATGCCAAAGGCTGCCTGGCAGAATTTCTGTAGTCTGGTAAGGGGCCCCCATCCTCCCGATCACACCCACCTGACTGAATCGACCATATTCCCCAGGGGGTCCCTGGGCGGCCATGGCGCCTCTCTCGGGCTCCCCAAGGCTTCCATGACGGCCCAGGAGGCCATCAAGACGGTCCAAGAGGGCCCCGAGTCGCCGAACGATCGCTCGAAGTCGCCCAAGATGGCTTTCAGATGGCCCGAGGCCTCCACGACGCCCCAAGAGGCCTCGAAGAGGCCTCCGAAGAGGGCCCCAAGAGACACAAATCATGTGTTCCCCTTCGCTTCTGGAATGAGTATCTTGTGAGAGCATGGATTCGAGAACTTTCGGCGTTGACTCGCGCGCCTTGCGCGGTCGCTATGGCCACGGGCGGGCCGCTTAAATTCAACCTCCGAGGTTGCAATGTTTCTCTGAACACACCCCAAAAAAAACATAACCAAGACGCCCCAAATATGAAACGGCGCGCTTTCGTCGTCGTCGTAGTCGTCGTCTTCAGGGTCGGCGGCACTGGCCGTAAGGCCTTCGCAATATGAAACGGCGCGCTTTACGTATTCGTTGTTTTCTAACGCAGACGAGCCGCCCGACGAATCGCTGTGGCATGCCAGCCATAAACCATAAGGTGTCCCTCGACTTTCGGTTCGGGTTGGGCCGTGCTCTGAGGGAGGTGTGGGAGGACAGGGGGGAGGAGAGAGCGGGCCAGGAGGCAGAGAAGGGAGAGCAAGAGGTAGGCATGCGACTTGTTTTCACATTTTCGCGTTCGTCGAGTGTCTGGCGAGGGCTGCGCTAGCAAAGAAAACCTGCTCCTCCTCCTGACCCGCTATTCTTCCTCCTCGTTCTCCTCTCCTTCCCTCTGTCGAGGTTGTCTGCTGAAAAACGCACTGGAGCGGGTGGCGAATCCCGCAGCGTCCACCCTGTGTGTACATGCTCGCACACGCCGTCAGCAGATCAAAATCCTAGCACCCTTTCCTAGAACAGTGAACCGAAACTCACTGAGCTCGAGCTGGAGGGTGAGCCCTTCCTAGAACAGTGAACCGAAACTCACTGAGCTCGAGCTGGAGGGTGAGGACGGTGAAGAGGAGGAGGAGAAGAGGAGGAAGAGGATGAGGAGGAGGCGGAGGGGGGGGGAAGAGGATGGTCAGGAGCAGGAGAGAATCGGCCAGCCGTCGGGCTCAGCTACCAGGGTACGGCACTGCGGCACTGCGTGCGAAAAGGTCCCGAGAGGCTCAGAGGGGAAGGAATATGAGGGAAATAACCTGGTATGTGTGAGGAGCTGCCGAGTCGAGGAGTAGATTAGACGAAAGCCAGGCAGGTGAGCTCAGCGGGAACAAAACTGAGCGGCCTTCGAAACGCGCGGCTTCTTAGTAGACGGGCCGCCCTCCTTCGCAAAAAAATCAGCATCTGTATCGACCTCGCTCAACTTCCTCCTCAGCGGTCCGTCCGTTGCAGAGGCATCGCCGTCCCTGACGAGAGTGGGGAGAGCATGCACAAACTCACACACGTTGCCATTGAGAGTGATATCCGTGGTCCAAGGCGTGTATCCGAACTTGTGCGTAGCGGTCTCGGGGGGCTGGTCGGCGGGTGGTGTCGCCTTGGCTTTCGCCTTGGCCTTGGCCTTCGGCGTCGGCGTCGGCTTCTTGACGGGTTTGATGTGCCAAGCGTAGCACGTGTCAGAGTGCCCGTACTCGAGGTGGCCAGACCCATCGAGGAACAGGTCTACGCCATGGCAGCAGCCCAAGTGGGCCAGATTTTGGCGATTGATGTTCTTCGCCACTGCCCTGCTGACGACTCTGCCCCACATGAGAAACTCAGACGGGCCATCAGTGAGCTGGAACAAGTCATCGATCTTGGCGTGGCCAGCCTTGTCGGTACCAAGGGAGACGTAAGCGTCGCCGTGGGCCTTCACGTATGCCCCCCCAGTCGCAGCAACCCCAAGTAGATGGCTCTGGATCCTGGCGCAGAGCAGCTTCGTGACGATCGGGCAGTTCTTGAAGTCGCCCTTCTTCGTGATGCTCGCCAGGTTCTTGAACTTATCCAAACCTGACAAGTCTCCTCCAGTCATCAGGCTGCCAACTGAACACAGACTGAGCGATTTCTCGAAGGGGTTCTCCTCGGCATCGCCTGTCTCGTCGCCAATGGCCTGCTGGAAGATGCCCGACAGGCTGACCTTCGAATCATCATCTTCTTCACCTCCGCCAAGTGCGTCCAACTGACCGTCGCACCTGGTCTTCCTCGTCGGCGACTGCTGCTGCTTCGACGGGGCCAAGGCTGCGCGAAGGCGGCGGTGAAGCGCCGCGGCGACCTTATCGGCACTCGCGCCGCCAAGTCCGCACAACTCAGCTGCCTCCATATCGTTGGGGTGGCCCTTCGAAAAGTGGTCAAGTAGCTTCGCCTGGACGGCCGCTCGCTCAGACGGGAAGACGCTGATGTTCGGGCAGTCCACCTTCACCCGCTGAGCTTCCCTTGCCATGTCTTGCGGGCTCATCTTCTCAAGGCTGAGGGCATACTCGCTCCGCTTGACGTTGAATTCAGCGAACGGGTGGTCCAGGACGAACTGATGGCACGCGAGCAGCTCGGCCATGAGCTTCTTGATAAACACCTGCCCGCGATTCTCAGGGTTTGCGCCCATCAGGCTGAGATACTCCGACAGGTCCGAGTTCTTCAAGGCCTCCACGAAAGAAGAAATTTGTTTCGGCACGAGAGTCCTCATCACAACAGTCTTATCCTCTGACGTTGCGTTCCGAAGCGGCATGTTGCTAACCCTCAGAACGACGACAAACCAATACTTCGCTTGAGTGGCCCCGGCAGTGAGCGACGGAAACATACACATATGAAAGACAGGAGGGGCAATAACATGATAAAAAAGGGAATGGCGAGGCAGAGTGGAGGTGGAGGATGAGTAGGTTACGTCTGGTCCTGATGGCGCTGCATGTAATCCCAAGTCCCACCAATGATTTGAACTCGGTAACAGCGGCTGATTACCCTGGAGACTCGACCACCGCCTAGTATGCTACAGTCTGGACTCTTTTACGAGGCAGACGAGCACAGGGGGCCGAACGACCCGCCCCTGGCAACAAGGGCCCGTCAGGGCACCAGGTGGTGGCACCAGGGGTGAGTCGTTCGGTCCCCTCTGCTTGCCTGTCCTGTAATATGTCTGGACTGCAACACACGCCATAAACTTCGCGTCGTTGTTCAGTCGGTACACGGTGTCAAAGACGTCGGCGAGGTTCTCGGGCAAGATGTCAACTACCTGCGACCACGCCTCATTTGCCACTATGGACAGGATCGCGCCGTCGGCGACGTAAGTGCTCTCGGGCCCCATCCCCTGAACAGCGGTCATCACTGCCACAATCGCGGAGTTGCCGGCTGTCATGGCAGTCATATGGCACGATACATCTTGGTCGAGCTTGTTATCCTTGAAGAAAGTGGCGGCCTTCTTCAACACACTGACGGTGCTCTCGCTCGCAAGGTACTGGGACGCCTCGGCCACGCTCCAAGCTTCCACGCTTCGGACCTGGTCCTCGATCGGCACCATGTCTTCGGCGTCTGAGTCCTGGAGGTCGGGATCATCGATCTCCCAGTTCGCGGTGGTCTGAGAAGCTGCGTATTTCTTAATCGTTCGGCGAAGGCTTGTCCAACTCGAGCAGATTTTCACATCATAAGGCTCATCGTTCTTCGACGGAACGGTCACCGTCGCCTCGCCAGCGAGGCAAGAGGTAAGGCACACAGACTTGATGACGTCAGCCTCCTCAGTGTTCATGCGATATGCCACCTTGCATTGGTCAGCCACCACGTCGATCGCCTTCGCCATGCTGTCGCCCTGCTGGATTTCTACGATATCTTGTTGCTGCGGAGATGCCACCTTCCTCTTGCCGCCTCCCGCCGCCGCCGCCATCGCGGCTTTCTCGATTGCCTTCTGCACTTTTTTCTGGGCCTTGACGGCCTCGTCACTGATTTGCTGGGCCAGCTTATCGTTCTTCACGGGCTGCAACAAGGACAGGACAGCGTCCTCGGTCACCGTCTCGACGTACTTCATGCCGTTCTGGAGCAGGCCGCACTTCCGATCCTTCTGCAATCGTGGCAGGAGGCACTTCAGGACATCCAGCGCGAGCTCAGGATGAGACCAGCCGGTGGCCTTCAAGACGGCAAAGTTGTTCTTGAAAATCGTGAACCTGTTCATGTCGCTCTGCACAGCGTTGAAATCCACGGAACTCATGCACCACTTGTTGTAAGCACGCCATAGAGACTCGCCAGATTTGAGCTTGATATTGTTGGAGTCCTTGAAGAAAGAAGCGCATTTCTCGAAGACGTTGATAAACTGCCATCTTGGCATCGCACCATCCTTGAACATTTTGTTCACGCGGTCGAGCTTTTTTGCTTCGTAGACGCCCTGTCCAAGGGCTTTGACAGTCCATTTCCCAGCGTTCGCTTTGCATTTGCGCTCCCAGCTTGCGGACGCCCTCGTAGTAGACCTGTATACTTGCGAAAAGTCATGACAGATGCCTCTCCGTTCGTGTCGTTTCCCAAAGCTACAATATATTCAACGACGAAGTCGGGCATGTCGTGGCGATATATATTGCAGTCCCTGATCCCGTTCGCGATGGACGAGCGGACCTTGCTGTCGTCGGCGTTCTCGGGGTCCTCCCAGGCCAACTTGGCGCCCGTCATCAGGGGCGCCCAGCGCATGAACCACATGGGCGTGGCAGGTGTAATCGCGAAGGTCGGGGCTTGAGGCCGCGCCCACGCGCCCGACCGAACGCCGCTGTAGATCCCCTTGGTCTCGACGGAGGCCTTGCGCTCCATGACTGTAGCCTCGTCTCCTCGATCATTCAGCGGGCCCCTCTAATGGAGCCAGTCGCCCTGGCCGTTCGGCGAAGAAGTGAAAGCAAGCGTGGTGCTCGGCGACAGGAGGTACATGGCGTCCACGGCGCTCTGCAAATCGGAACCTGGCAGCGATTGCCAACCCGAGAAAAACAAGAGGAGGGGGAGGGGGAGGGAGGGCTAGGTGGCAAGAGAAGAGTGAACCGTCCAAGTTCGGTATGAGCTCCCCAATTCCTTGGGATTTGCCAGCGCTGTCAAACCGATCCTCGCGTGATATCGCGGCCACAGTTTGTTTCGCGATGTCATCGTAATCCAGAGAGCTCGGACTCGACATGGCCTTGTCCAATAAACGAGGCGATCGAAAGACACTGATGCAGCTTGAAGCCGGCAAACGAAATAGCTTGAGCCAAAATGCAACGGGGGAATGGGGCAGCAGAAGCAGCAGCACGACGGTCCCCAGGGCCCAAGAGGGGGTGCATGAGGAGCATTTGACATATTGGACGTTGTTTGGCATTATTGGCCCTCGTCGCCACGGCTGGATACCTCGTCCTCCAGGGGGGTCCCCGTCGCCACGGCTGGATACTTGAGAAATTATGGTCGGAACGCGCCAACGTGCGTTTTTCTCCGGGCTTAACGCATCAAACTCTACAATCTTCCATAAGTCACCCTAAGGCACTTTAGTTGTTTAGGGGCACGCCTACATGTGTGCGTGTTTTGTTTGCTGTCCTCAATTGCTTGTTTCTCTATATCTCTCTATCTGCGCGTTGTTTCTGATATTATTTTCGGCAGCGATGTTTCATATGATTTGCCCTGATACTGCTGCCTCCTGTAGTCGACGGCCAGAAACTAAGCGTCAATGTTTTTAAAATATCTACAGTTCAATACTTTTCTAAAAATATTGACGCCTAGTTTCTGGCAAATTGGGCGCCGCTCCGAATGCAATTCATGCCATCCCCGTTGACTCGGGGAGTCAACGCGCCCCCTGCAGGCGTTGACTCCTGGAGTCAACGGCCCTGCCACGTTGACTCGGGAAGTCAACGCGCGCCCTGCAGGCGTTGACTCCTGGAGTCAACGGCCCTGCTCCGTTGACTCGGGAAGTCAACGCGCGCCCTGCAAGCGTTGATTCCTGGAGTCAACGGAGCAGGGCCGTTGACTCCAGGAGTCAACGCTTGCAGGGCGCGCGTTGACTTCCCGAGTCAACGGGGCAGGACCGTTGACTCCAGGAGTCAACGCCTGCAGGCGGCGCGTTGACTCCCCGAGTCAACGGGGCAGGGCTGTTGACTCCATAAGCTGGGAAATACTTTGAGTTGGCTTGCCGTGCTTTGCCTTCTACCACACGTTTGTTGCTTAGACATCGCAATGTATGCGCGTTGTTTGCATTGTTTGTTGTGTGTGTGTGTTTTGTTTGTGTTTGTGTGTTGTTTTGAGCGTTTGCGTTTTTTGGCTATGATGCATGTTCACGTGCATACTGTTTCATCGCGGCGCTCCCCCAAGTACTCGTCAACTTGAGTTGTACAGACAACTCGCACAGCGAAACGAACATCCCCGCTCGTGCTCGCAAATTCCAGGAGGCTTAACCCCCCCTAACCTGCATGCAAATTTCTCGTGGCACTGAAGGTGCCGCGACGTCAAACACTCGCAACACGTGCACCTGCCGTCGGACTGCGATAGCTCGGGGTTCTCCGCGCCGCCCTTGACGGCAAGACTGCAGGCAATGCACGGGAAGTCAAGTGGTCCAGCAAACAGCTTGACTTCTTCTGACCTCCGAACTTTGACAAGCCAATCTGGAATTGCTTGCCGCTCGTTACCCCACTTGTTGCTGGCAGTGCCCTTAGATAGGTGAACCCCAATGTTCGGACAGAGCATCTCGCATTCAAAACGGCGAGGCTCGAGCAAATGGTATATCAATCGATTTCGCTTGTCTGTTCTAATTGGGCGGCCGAACCTAGTTGCGGGGTCCTCCCACCTCATGAGCAGGACACTCCAGCCAGAGTAGGCAACCGTTCCTAGATCGCAATACTTTAACTCCTCCTCAACCTTGGCTACGACAAATCCGATCGAATGCTTTTCAAAAGGGTTGCCTCTCGCCTCACGGAGCAAATCGCGAGCGCGAAGCACATCGGCGCGCCCCTTGCCGCACTCAACGAGAACATGCTTCATCACTGCGTCGCGAGCTGAACCCCCAATGGCCCCGTCGTTGACAAGCAAAAACGGAAACTCTGGGCCGTCACCGCGCGGGTCCATCTCTACATCTCCGTCGGGGTCGTCGTCGGCCCCAGGGTCGACGACACTCTTGATTTCGACAGGCTCCCCAGAGGGCTCGTCGTCGGGTAGCTTGTCCGCTCCTCCAGTGGGCCCTCCCTGCCCCCCCCCTGCCCCCCTTCCTTAAACCCTATCAATACTCATCCACCTCTGGGGGCTCGAGAACCTACTAACCCCCGAGTTGTAAAGGTTTAGCTCTTCACATTGCCGTGCTGCCGCCAAGCATATCCTCCTCCTCCTCCTCCTCCTCCTCCTCCTCCTCCTCCTCCTCTTCCTCCTCCTCCTCCTCCTCCTCCTCCTGGGGATGGGGCGAGGCGGCAGTCGGGCGTCCTTCGAAGTCCAGATCGCCCTCGACCTCGATATCATTCATGATCTCCTCGATCCCCTCTTTCACCACGTCCACCTCCTCTGGAATGACGAAGTCGTCGTGGGCTGGAGCTGGAGGGGCTGGACCCGCTGCCCCAGCACTCGTCGACGGCTTATTCGCAGCCCGTCTAGGGGTGAGCTTCGTCGACTTTCGATTCAAAATGCTGCCGCTGTTCATCGAGCGCCACGAAACAGTAAAAGTGTTGATCACAGTGTGTTTCAATCGAAGATGCCCATTTGCAGAAGCAAGCAACCCCCTGAGCATATCGGCGATGAAGTCCCCGAGCTTGAACGTCTGTAAAGGCAATGCCAACGAAACCCCAGCGTTGTCAAGGGTAATGTCGGCCCGCGCGCACCAGCAAGTAGTATAGTGGCGAGCTCCAAGTAGGAACGGCGCCATCGCAATACTCTGGTCCATCAACTTAAGCTCCACCGTGTAGACCTCGCGTGCGTCGATTTCGCAGAAGCCCGAAGCTGCACTCTGAATGCCCTTGGCCTCCCTGGCAGGCAAATCCCCCATCGCCGCACCACTCGGCCCCGCCCCAACTCCAGCTGGAGCTGGAGCTCGTTGAGAAGGCGCCTTACCCAGGGCACCTTGTCCATGGTCGACCCCCGCAGCGTCTGCCAGAGGGAGCGGGCAGTCGCCAGCGCATGGACCTGCGATGGCGCCGACGTCGAAACGTTCTGCCTCGTCGCCTCTGTCGCGGATGGCAACGGCCTCCGAATGGCACGCCGTGCAATCGACCGTGGGCGGCAAGGTCCCAAGTTTCAAAGACAACCGATCGCTTGCAAGTGGTATATGGATATTCGGTGCCCTCGTAGTAAGTGTTTGGAGCACTGAGTTCGCCCCCCGGGGGGAGGTGCTATGACGCGGCGCCCCCCCCCCCGCCCCAAGAAAATTCCCCCCCCCTAAAAAAAAAACTTCAAAACGCCGGCTAAAGACCGTTGGGAGACATACAATCCTCAAGTTTCCAGGGACTCGTGTTATAGCATCCGCCCGAACCTCGACCTTGTATCTGGGCGCCACTGTGATCGGACCAGTAAAAGAACTGAGTGCACCTCCTGCGCGCAGCAACCCGCATCGGCCATAACGCGGAACATGGCGGAGTATTTGTTGAAGAGTTTCAGCGTAAAGTCGCTGAGTGGCTGCAGCAGTGCATCGGGCCCTCCCTCAGCTCGTTGAATAAGCAACTGTGCAGCGCCCTTCCTCCGATCACACACAACTCGCGGGCCTTCTTCCACGCGTAGTAATAACACAGCTGGGAAATCATGCACGCGACTCCGAATCCTCATATCCCATTGGCAGGTGCTGGCAACAATGAGCGTGATTGCAAGGGCTCCGGCATCGCTGACGTATTCCTGTGGAACCGATGGCCACAAGGATGCCCACTCGACGCTGCCGTCGGCGAGGAGCTTGCTGAAGTCGCCCCTGAGTGTGCCCTCTTGAGAACTGACCAGCTTCGACATCACAGTCGGGCCGAGGTATGTTTTGTCGCCATCAGCGGCTTCATCAACACGTTTGTTGAACTCCTTTGTCTCATTTTGAACCCATAGGTGGAAATGTCGAAGTGGTCCGAGAGCAATGCATGAAACCAGCACTTTTACGATAAATTTGCTGTCTGCGAGGGCCTTCGTTGCCAGGAGCCTGAACTGTCTGCAATTGCTTCGGTTTTGTTCGGTCTCATCTGCCAGGGGACCTTTACCTTTCGATCCTTTCTTCTTTTCCAGTTTTGGCCCAAACACTGCGTCAAACACTGAGGCCAACACAGGTCGCCATTTCGAAATTATATGCTCAATTGAACCCAATGACCCCCATCGGGTCTTAATTGCCCTACCAGGGGTTCTCCTGCAAACTTGAACTGCGACATCCTTCCCGTGAAGGTCAGCGCAGACGTCCCAAATCTGCGGGGCAGACCCTGGCATTCGCCACGTGTTAGCGAC